GCTAATCATGTCCAGTAGGATAATAACGTCTAGAATACCACAGGATGTCACCATCACGGTTTGCAGACACACGTCCTGTGCAGCAGTCAGATGGTCTGGATTTCTGGAACCTTAATGAAGGCATAACTAATATGGTTGATTTTAACCAGTGCAAGACTGACCATATAAAATGCACTTTGACATTACAAATAAAATTTGTGAGACTGTGTCCATATTTTGGTATGGGAAAAAAGTGGTTATCATAAGCATATATCTGATTTTGTGTTTGTTTTTAAAAACCATATATCTAGTGCGTTCATTAGTGTCCCAAAGACCAGGCCTTCAGTTACTGAATAAAACTGGAAAAAGCAGTATTTTTGCAGAACAGAATGGAGATGAATAATTAGTTCTTTGAGAATACTATGTATATAATATTGAAACAACACTCGAAAAATAATTAAGAAAAGCTATGGAAGTTTCAATTACACATAAAGTAAATTGAAATCCCAAGAATCCCATTTTATAGATTTTTAAAAGGGGAGTATACACCTCAACTAGATCCTACTATCAACTCCAGTGCACACCAAATGCAAGAAGACTGTAGAAAATTCAAAGCTATTTGTCCTTCAGCTTGAAGTTATGATGGATTCCTCGGTTCCTGGATTTATAAACCCAGGGCACTTTTAGTCTGGGTATTTCTTTAAAACCTGTATGAATTTCCCTTGAATCATTTACAATGATCTCTTACTAAAAAAAAAAAGTCCTAAATGCATCCCACCCAATAATATTTCCAACAGCACTAACCAAATTATTTGCTAGTAGTTTGAATGAATTATACGTTTTATGTACAATTTAGTATCTACTAGTAAGAGTTAAGTATATAAACTATTTAATTTCTTAACACAATACTGCATTTCCCCATAAAAAATTGAAATGTATTACTTACAAAACACACACACACACAAACTCCACACTTCCCCTCTACCCACAAACCCATAAGAATTCAAAATGAAATCATATAGCCATTTCCCATAAAGAAACAATATAAAGTCTGCACTTTTTAAAAGAAGACAGAGTGAAAATTTCTCAGCTACCTTCTCCTCATAGACTTACATATTTGCCTTAATATTCTGCCACTTTGTCTGTAAACACATGCTTGCACACAACACACACATTCGCGTGAAATGTTATTTTCAATTGGGAATTCCCTACATCTTTCATATTTTTGCATTCATAAAAGTCATAAACAGTTATAATTGCATGAAATGTCTTAAAAATCATAACAATGGTTTACAAACGGCCTAATTACCTTTTTCTAAAGTACCCCATTTAACTAAATGCACTCCGTTGCCTAACACATCCCAGCAGCTTTACATCTCTAAAATGCTGCCCTGGTTTCAGAATTTTTGCTTTACTATTATTTGCTGATTCCAATCACTTAAGATTCTTTGTAATTCCCATGTAAATATCACCAGGTTTCAAAATAGGAAAAAAAAATGCTAAATACATTCCCTCCCTAGTTAAAACCGTCCCTCTGTTAGCAGAGCCTACGTTTCCTTTACTTACGCTGGATGACAGAGCTCACCAGGGCACACCAGGTCTCACTGCCAGCAGTTAATTAATGTGCTCACAGAAGTTTTGATGAACTGTTTAATCCTTCAGCAAGGGTGTTCGGTACTGTTCCAGTCTGCAGTGTGGGCACAGCAGATGGCTCAGGCTGGGAACCGTGGGAAGAAAGCGCTAAGCGGACTTGATGAAGGTGGGGCTCGGACACCAGCCAGAACTCAGACTTGAAGTTGCTGCCCACAGGGAACTGCCGACGGCCTCTGAGCCGGAACATCGGAGCAGCAGTGAAATCACACTCCAAAAACATTTTCCTGCTCTGGGTTGGAGGGATGTTAGGTGATGGGGTCTCAGAATGAGAAGGGCCAATTCAGAAGCTCTAGTATACTAAACGTACATTTGAGGTGATGGAGTCCTGGCTTCTGTGGCATAAAGATGTGGACATTTTGAAAGAATAACAGGCAGGACCTGGTGACTAAGCAGATTTGAAGACTGGGGAGAGAAATCCAGTCGGCGATGACACCACGATTTTGAATGTGACTGCACGGGGGGGTGGGGGAGGGGTGGCACCATAAGCAATAGGGAAGTCAGGAAGAGAAAATTAGACTTTTTGTAAGGAAGACGATAATTTGGCTCTAGACAGGTCAAATTCAAGCCGAAAGGTTCAGTGGTAAGTTGAAGACATATAATTATAGCACAAGTCAAAAGATAGGATTGGAGATGTTATAAATGTACATATATTTTTATTATGGAATATTTCAGATACATCAAATGTAGACTAAATAATAATGAACTTCTATGTACCCACTGCTGGCTTCAATCATGATCAATTGCTGGTCAACCTTATTTCATCCAGTCTCCCCACCCCATATCATTCTGAAGCACATTCTAGAAAGGGAGAGAGGGATTTAAAAGGATGAAGCACAGAAAATACAGATTTGGGAAGGTTTAGAGAAGTTTGAAGCAAACATCGTCTTACAGATGAGCAAATTAAAGAATAAAGAATTTCCCCTAATTAAAAAAAAACAACTAATAGAGCTTAACTGGAACCCAGTTATTTGCAAACAGTTCTGCCAAGTTTTCATCTTTCTGAGATGAAATGAAAAAAATAAGGATACGCAAATTTTTCAGAAAGCTAAAATTCAAATTTTAAAATTGTGAGCACTTTATGAATTACTTTATAAACATATTTAAAAAGCAAACATTATTCCATTGATTAACACCACATATGCCACATATTATAAAAAGTAACTATAAAATAGGTTCTCATATTAACTGTACAACAAGAGAACTGTGTTTACTTGATTATCATTGGGGGGTTTTCACACTGTGGCCCAAGAGCCTCTGGGGTCACTCTAAGCACGGCTTGCAGACAACAAGAGTCCTGTCTGTCTGGAGTCAATTTACCTGTGGCTGCCAGGAAAGTCACCTTGAATGACATGTCACCTCTTGTTCCAAACCTACTCACATTTATGGGGCAAACTTTGTGTTGATTGTGGTGAGTAGAAAATATAATAAGGCAAGAAGAGGAGTGGTGGTATTAATTCCATAGACACAACCTGAATAATATTCAGCCTGCCAAAAAGAAATAGTATCCTTTTATCAGAAAATAGGGCAGTTCACGGGTCCTACTGAAAAGTAAATTAACCAGGGAGAGTTATACTTCAAGCATGTGGCAATGTTTTGTAAAGATCTTATGAAACCACACACATAACAAAACTGGCTTTATGAAAAAAATTCTTATTTAAAAAACTTGTATTAGAAATACTAATAGGATGACACTGGAAGAATGTTACAAGGTGGCACTCTATACTGCAGAGTCTAAAAGTTACTTGTAATTTCAGGCATTCAGGGGTTTGATATATGAAAGATGCTTGCTTCAATAAAAAGCAATTAAGAAGTAATTAAAAGTCCTGGGCACTTTGCTCCTGCAATGACATTTAACCCCACAGTGAGGCTGTGAGGAGGACTCTGCCCCCCAGTATCTTGTCCACCAGCTGCCGTAAGGAAGTGAGTCTCAAAGAGGGTGGCCGGCAACGCCCAATGTGGTTCAAAAGCTTCAGTTGAGAGCAGGCAGGTTGTGCGGTTGTAAGAAGGTGACCGGAGATAACTGAAGGATCGGTGTGTGCGGTGCTGGCAACGGAAGCCAGACTGCCAGCAAATGAAGCTGACCAGGGAGGTGGCATTATAGCCCAGGGTCATTTATTTTTGTTTAAATACGGTCTCCTACAAATGCTGATTTGCAAAGCCATCTTATTTTTATGGCCATACTGCTTATATTATAAAAGTTTGAGTCTAGTGAGAAACTTCCCTTTCTTTGGCTACCACTGCCCACAGTTCTGAGGCCCTTGGTACCCGTCAAGCATTGTGTGAATGCCTTGGTTTCAGCCTCTCAGTGCACCTCTGCGACAGCGCCCTGGGACCTGCACGGCCCCCACATCCTGCCCCCCTGCAACTGGACAGCTCACCACCCAACAGTTCGCAGATGTACAGAAACAGAGAGAGCCAGAGCCATGAGGTTCACGCATCCTCGGGAGCCTCCTACCCCAGGCTTTGCTTCGGGTGGAGCAAACACCAGGAAGCTGCCTGCACGGGGAGCTAAAGCGCTACTGAAACCCCTGGGGAAGATGCTGACGATTGAAAGCATAAGCATCAAATTTATGTAGCACATGATCTGAATCCACCCACTAAACTGGTCCTGGGGGTTTTTAAAGGAATCAAAGTATTGATGTATCAAAGCAAAACACCTATCCTTCCTTCCGGTATTTAATATCAACTGAATTAGCAAAGTGACATTAACATAAAACCGTAATTGCAAAGAATATGAAGGTAACATTATTTTGATAAGCAACCCAAATTAAATATAAACTTATGTTTGCCAAACTGAAGGGAAAACAAGTGAGAATAAAAATAGTATTTCATCCCTAATCTTTTAAAAGGAGCACCGACCTAGACTCATAGACACTGAGGAGTGACTGGTGGTCACCGAGGGGGAGGGGCTGGGGGTACGGGGAAGGGGATAAAGGGGCACAATAATTTGCAATCACAATATAAGTCGGTCACAGGGACAGTAGGTGCAGCATGGAGAATATAGTCAGTGACTGTAACATCTTCCTACATTGACAGATAGTAACTGCACTGAGGGGGTGAGGATTTTATAACATGGGTAACTGTTGAACCACTGTGCTGTATACTTAAAATCAACATATGATTGTATATTGAAGATACTTTAACAAAATTAATTAATTTTAAAAAAAGGAGCATTGACCATTTCTTCTAGTTTCGATCATTTACTTTCTTCTGAACATCCCCTTACTCATCAGTGACCCGGGGGCCCATGTGCTCAGAGCACTTGGGGGACCGGAAGCAAAGAATCACTGTTGTCAGACTCCATGCGCACGTCCGGTTCTGATAGTTGCTCCGGGGAATTTTTTTTTTTTAAAGAAAGACTATTTTTATTTAATTTAATAAAACTGTATTTATTTAGCGATTCACTTTCTCATACTGTTTTTAATTTATGAGAATTACAGGGGGAAATAAATACTATGTTGCTGTATAAATTTGATATTCTATTAAAAATTTTCAAATCACGTTAATTTTTGTTTCTTGTACATGTTCTGTTCACTCAAATAATACAGGAATAATATACAGAATCTCACTGACAATACACAATCAAAAACTATTTGAAGTGGCCTAAGTGAGTCATTTTTGAGAGTGACTTTTATCATGTTTTCTAATGAGGTCCATCAGATCAGCCCCCGTGACCAGGCGGTTCTGCGCCTGCTTGGCTCTCTGCCGCTCCCTTCTCTTCTGTTCCTGCAGGTACGGGGAGTTCAGTAACTGCGGGGGGAGGAGGGAGCCTGTGGGTTTCACTCTTTTTGCGATATCCCAGAAGAGTCTTTTTGAATTGTTATTGATGAACGTAATCGCTGTTCCATTCTGACCTAGTCTGCCCGCTCTTCCAACCTGAAATGAAATGCGAAGGATATTTTTCAAAATGTTCATATAAAATCTTAAAGTCATGTGAAAGAAAATTAAGGCTACAATTTAAAGAGGCTTTTCTAAGACGAACATTGAGAGAGCATTTCTTTGACTTTCGTATCTCAGTGTATTTGGGAAATCAATTCGGTGGGCTGCCACCAGTGTATTCTTAGTGAAACAGCCGAAAGTGATTATATATAAAATAAGTCAGCACTGGTTGTGAAACTTCTATTTCAATTACAGACATGTGTGCTGGGGGCAGGTAATGAGGTAAAGCTGTGTCTCATTGTGGATGGGCTAAGGTGAAACTTCTCAAAGCCACTGCATTGACAGCAAAAGGACTATCTGCCTGAGTATGTAAGTGCCTTGAAATTTGAGATTTCAGCAAATTCATTTCTGCATAAAGTTATTTCTGGTTTTAATATAACTAAATGGACACAAATTTGTGGAGAACCATAATAAGAAATAAATGTACTTGTGTCCAAATGTGCTGAGAAACTCTTCAGAAGAGAGGGAAAAACACAGTCAAGGTCATTTTCTGCTCTTTAATTGAAATGTAGAACTTGAAGCCTATATTCAGAGTACTTAAACCAATAGATGGTTCCTGCCAATATATAGGACATTTTTAATGTTGCAAAGGAAAAAAGCCTCTAAAAAGTTGAAAGGGGTGACCTCTAGGAAATGAGACTGGGAGAAGTAGGGAAGGAAATGCTGTTTTTCAGTAACAACTTTTATCTTCACCTGATTTATTTAATTAAGTTGCTGAATTGTTGCATTAAAACTAAAAACTAATGTATTTAGTTTTTAGTTTTAATGCAGCTCACAACATGGATGAATCTAGACGGTATTATGCTCAGTGAAATAAGCCAGAGAAAGACAAATACCATATGATTTCACTTATCTGTGGAAAACAGCAAAAACAGAAGGAACAAAACAGCAGCACACTCACAGCCAAGGAGAAGGGACTAGTGGTGACCAAGGGGGAGGAGTTGGGGCAGGTGGGTGGGGAGGGGGATAAAGGGGCACAAAAATTCACAATCGCAATATAAGTTGGTCACGGGGATGGTAGTACAGCATGAAGAATATAGCCAATGATCCTGTAACATCTTCCTATGTTGACAGACAGTGACCACACTAGAGGGGGTGAGGATTTAATAATACGGGGAACCGGCACAACCACTGTGTTGTATGTCCAAAACCAACATAAGATTATATACCGATGATACTTCAATTAAAAAAAAAAAAAACAGCTGCAACTCACAGAATGGGAGAAAATATTTGCAAATCATTTCTCTATGGTCTTCTAGAATATATAAAGAACTGTTACAACTCAATAATAAAAGGACAACCCAATTAAAAAATGGGCAAAGGATTTAAGCAGAAATTTCTACAAAGGAGATATGAAAATGGCCAATAAGTACATGAAAGGATATTCAACATCATTAGTCATTAGGGAAATGCAAATCAAAAACACAAGGAGGTGTCATCTTATACCCACAAGCATGGCTCTGGTTAAAAAGATACATAACATGAGCTTTGATGAGGATGTTGGAGATACTGGAACCCTCATATATTGCTGGTAGGAATGTGAAATAGTGAGGCCACACTGGAAAACAGTCTGGTGGTTCCTCAAAATTTTAAACACAGAGTTATCAGCAACTCCTTTCCTAGGTGTATGGCCAGGAGAAATGGAACATATGTCCACACAGAAACTTGTACATGATGTTCACAGAAGCATGGCTCACAGTAGCCAAAAAGTAGAAATAACCTAAATGTCTAGCAACTGAATGGATTAACAAAGGTGGTATATACTGAAATATTACTTAGCAATGAAAAAATGATACATTAATATATGTTACAATACAGGTGAACCCTGAAAACACTATGCTAAGTGAAAGAAGTCACAGAAGACTACCTACAGTATGAGCCCATTTATATGAAATGTCCAGAAGAGAGAAACCTACAGAGAAGTTACTTCAGTTGAGGGTGTATGTGTGATGTGTGTGGATGTGATGGGCACGGGTTTCTTCCCAGGGGGATGAAGATGTTCTAACATTGATGGTAGTAAAGGTTGCATAACTCTGTGAATATACTAAAAGCCATTGAATTGTACGCTTTAAATTGGTGAATTGAATAGCATTTGACTTATATCTATTATGACACAATTTATATTAGAGATTTTTATACTAAAATAAAAAGCTGTTAAAAAAAAGTCTACTATCTCCAAACTCTAAAAGACAGCTGATGGTAACAAATAAAAAGCTACTTCCCCATCCCCAAAATTAAAAAGCAGATACATGGGATACCTATTAGAATTTTAAATACAGGAGGGATCCTTTGACCTAGCAAGTCTCCTGCAGGAATTTATCTTACAAGACACACTTGCATGAGTGGCACAAAGCTACATACGTGGATGTTCACTGCAGCATTACTTAATAACAAAGTATTGGAAACATTTGATTGCCCATTAGTAAAGGTTTGGTAAGTAAATCATCGGACATCCAATCAATACATTACCATGCAGCTATTAGAATGGAACAAACCAGGTTAAGCAAGTAAAAACATTTAATGAGCCTAGAACAGTGCCTGGCCGTACAGTAAGTGCTTAATACATATAAACATTTGTTACATGGTCCCTATTATGTGTGCCAGTATGGAAAGATGTCTAGGATATATTCAATGAAGCAAGGCACAGAACAGATGGCATAATAGGGTCCCACTGATGTAAAAAGTACAACAGGGTATGCACACACAGGTGTGTATATATGCATATGTATGCACTTATATTTGTGTACTGTTAACTGTGGTACCCACTTAAAGGTAGGAGGGCTACTTACAAAGATTTACTTTTCAATTTATATCTTTCATTATTTGCATTATTGTTGTGTGTATGTGTACTTCAATTATTGAAACAAACAAACAAAAAACACCCAGATACAGAACTAGAAAAGTAGCTCTGTGGCCATTCTAAATCGAGGTAAGGACCCCTACACACTTCAGCACCCCAAGGCCACTGCTGTATGGCAGGCAGCATGGTCACTGCCAATAACTGACAGCTATGGGGTTGATGCTGGGCCAAAGAGAAAAGGTTAAATGGCGATCAGCACACTCTAGCGAAGAAGCAGAGAAACAAAGGAATACTTAAGTATCTTAATATTTTAGAAAGTGGTCCATCAAAAATTATTAAATTAAAATTTTGAAAGAAAATCGACTTTTGTTTGAATAATCAATTCCTGTGGAATACTTGATTCCCTGACACACGGGCAAATGAGGTGGTGTCACAGAGAGAGAAGTACTGCTGTGTCATTAAATCTAAGTAAACGTAAAGCAACAATGCATTGTGGCACTAAAAGTGTTTCGGCGGGTGGCCCAAGCACACGCGGCACTCAGAGGTGACCCTGAGAACATCACAGAAAGGCTTTACTTGAAGAGCTTGTAAGGGATGCCGGAGAAGGAAGACAGGTAGTTGTCAGTGAGATAACGTGCCTTAAGAGAAGGCTCTATTTCTGCTAGAAACAAGAGCAACTGTTATCTTTGGCAGCAAAGGAAAGGAATGAAACTTAAAAGGTGAAAGACGAGAATAAATGAGGATATGAAGAGAAGATGAAGACGAGATTCCTAGCAAAACAAATACGTGCACGGATCAATTTTATTTTGGCCAGACATATCAACTGAAAACAAAGACTTTTTATTTTTCAATTATAAAAGCCATTTAATATGCTCATTGAAGAAAATAATAAATAAAATTAAACCAAAAATCAACTATTTAAAAAATTTTAAACTAGCTTTTTAGGTTACTGCTTCCAATTATTTTTTAATGAGTTCTAGGAACATATAAACTTCTTTAAAAACAAAATTTAGTTTATAAGCATATCTGTTTTTAAAACAGAAATATATAGTTTATGTTCATCATATAGCTTTTTTCCTTTTTTACACTTACCATTATATTGACAATACCTTGCCCAAGAAAACTGACGGGGGCATGCATACACTGTGCCTACCTGGTGCACGTACTCATCCATACTCGAAGGCATATCGAAATTGACGACCAGCTTGACGCTGACCAAGTCCAGGCCTCGCCCCAGGACGCCAGTGCTCACCACGACGTCATAGTCTCCTTCGAGTAAGCCCTTCACAAAAAAGCAGCTAAGTTCATTATGCAGAATGTATCTTCTGTGGTTTCATGTAATTCAGGCACCTTTTCTTTTTTCAGTATTTTGCGAGGGCAGTGCCTTCTCAGTAAGCAAAGGTCTTACGAACCAAGAAAATGTATAGGGCTTAAGTTCCTCCCAACCCTCCCAGTCCAATTTTTCTATTTTTGAAAGATTTTACTCAGGCAAACATTTTTCAACGGTGAGCAACTGCCCTGCCCCCGTCCGAACTGACCTGATCTCAGAAATGGTAGGATTCTGAATTAGTAATCTAGTTGGGAGATAATCCCCAGGGGACAGGCTTCCTCCCCCTGCAGAAGAAGACACTTAACTTCACAGGCACTCGCCTGCCTGAAGTTCTCAGTCATTTATAAAAGGGCTGGTTTAAAAACCAGCTGGTCATATGGTGTGTCTTGAAAATGAGGCAAAGCAGATTTCAGGGAAGAAAGGAAAACAGGATGCTAAGTGGCAGACCTTCAGTGTGTTTTTCCTTTCTATCTGAGGCTTCTCTGAATGTATGGACGTGCTGTTGAGACCTGTGATTTTCTGAACGGCCTCGCTCAGCAGATCTGCTCCTAGTTTGTGGTCCACAAATACTAACACTGGTGGCCTGAAGAGTTTCTTATCCTGAAAGATTAAACATGTGTTATTTAAAATTATTCATATAATACACAGTGAGAAGTTTTTCTGAAAGCATTAGTATCAGCAAGTTACCAATGGGTTTATAAAAATTAAGGAGGAAAAATGGCATATTCTGTTTAAAATGAATGTTTTCCTTAAAATATGCACAAACTGCAGCCAGTCATCTGCCCTTCGCATTTCTCCATCACATTATTAATATTACAAAAACAATTTAAAAATTCAAGTGCAATTTGAAATGTTAAATACTATTCATAAGTCAACACAAACCATATTTTAACTTAATACTGTATTTTTAAGTAACTATGCTTGCATGTATCACCCACTTAACAAATTTCTGTTTAAGCTAGTTACCATAAAAAAATTATATTTCTCTAGGACATAACAGACAAGAAAGTACATCTTTACCTTATCTATAAAACTACTAGGAACTTTTGAAACAAAAAAAAAATTACTTAGAAACAATCTTGGTATTTACATTTTTTCTGTAATAAGGAAAAAAAACCCAACCCTGCATCTATTCAGCATGCTGTCATACATAAAAACGTAATTTGATACCCACAGAATTCTGAAGTGAAGCAATTATTAAATACCAAGTTCTCCGAAATCTGTATCTAGAAATCGTTATGTTAAGAACTGAAAAATGCAAACGCCATCTACAAAAGAGAGTTGACGCTCTACTACTCACGTTTAAGATCTCAAATAATTTCTTCTTTTTGGCCGGCTCTTCCACCCACAGGATGATCTGGCGCACGCTGGGGCAGGGCAGGCCCTTCTCTCCGATGAGGATTCTCACGGGGTTCTGCAGAAGCCGGCTGGCTAGCTGTTCTGTGCCATCTGGGATTGTGGCTGAGACCAGAATGGTCTGGCAGTCATTAGGCACCTTTTCCAAAATGTCCAGTACTTGCTGTTGAAAGCCCATCTTTAACATGGTATCTACCTAAAATAAAATCATTTTAAAGTTAGTCCTACTTGACATTAAATCCCAGAACCACTCAAGAAAAAACTGGTATCATTAAGACAAAAATTTTAAAATGTCTGCCCTGAAAAATATACCAGATTGTCAATAGCTAAAGGGTCAACTGGGAAAAATATATAAGTATGTAAATATTTTTTATTTATATGAAAATAAAATTTAAGGGGACTATTTGGTGACTAGTTCCTCCCTGCCCCCACCTAAGAGGGATGTTAGCAAATTAAAATGTGAAAAAAAAAGTACTTGAGAAAAGGTCAGAATTAAAAGTACTACATAAATGCAGGCTGTTTCCAATATTAGAACTACTCACAATTAAAACAAAGCTACTCAGAAAATGCAAGAGTCCACAGTGTGGGGAAGGACAACACTCAGAAACAGAGTGAGAGGTATTGACAGGGCAGGGGGTAAACACAGGTGTCCCCTAATCAAAAACCAGCTTCGCCAAATTTACCGGCAAGTGTTCTATTTTCAGTGTTGCCCACATTTCTTCATCAGCTGCTCACGAGGTCCTTGACCCCTGACACTCTGGCTTCCATCTCTCCCTGAACTCCACCACTGAGGGTCGCCAGGGCTCACCACTCACTCACTCACCGGACCTTAACTGCCGGCAGCTGACACCCACATGCTGAGCGTTCACAGCCAGGCACCTTTCAGGAGCCGCACACGTGCTCCTAACACTCTCATGATGTCGGCACCGTTACGACCCGGTTTCACAGGCGAGGAACTCGCGTGAACTACGTCGTGATCCCTGAGGCGGTGGGACTGGGACATGGACCCTGGCTACCTGGCTCCGAATCTATGTCAAAAACACCAAGTAAACTGCTGTGTGCTCGGTGGTGAAGACACACGAAGAGACCCTGCCTTTAAAGAGCTTACGGTCTAGAAGGAAAACAGATGGGTCAACCCAAACCACAAGTCACATACTTGAAGTATTATCAGTCTAAATCACAGTACATGGCATGCTGACCGTCCCTCCCTCAAGTCCTTTTCTTCCCCCCTGGCCATGGCTTTGAGAGCCCTCTCCCCTCCGATCAGTCCCCACGTGGTGGACAGCCTCTGTGTGTCCGTGAGCCCACGGGCTGTGTCCTGAGCCCCCTTCTTGTCCCCATCTACGCTCTCCAAGTAAGCTCAACAGGTTCTACGGCTCTGGACTCACATGTACACCAAAGACTCCCCAAATCTTATCTCTGGCCTGGACTCTAGTGGCAGAATCTAACTGCCAACTCAGCGTCTCCACTTGGATCTCACAGTCCGCTCAAATTTCACTGTTTAAAACAGAATTCCGCATGTTCTCCTTGCCAAGCCTACACTCAGTACATGTCCCAGGCCAGGGCACCGCCTGGACCACCGTCTCTTCATCAGCCTGCATCGGATCCACTCCGTCCAGCTGACACGAATGTGCCCCAGATCCAGCCACTTCCCTGCAGCTGGCAAGGGGCACACCTGTCCTGTCACCCCCACACCAGACCCTGTGCCCCTCAGGCGGCCGGATCCGTTCCTCCTCGGCATAAACCCTCCATGACTTCCCATCACTTAGAACAAAACCCACCTCCTAACTCCAGCCTGGAAGCTCTGGAGCCTCCCACCCCCCCGCCCACTTCCCTGACCCCATCTCCTGTCTCCACGGCCCTGCCACACCAGCCGTCTTTCTGTCCCCGACGACTCCCCGCTCATCCCCCTTTCGCTCCTCCGAGCCAGCTATTCTGCCCACGACCGTCTTTCCTCCCGATGCATCTTCGCCTGGCCGGCCCCTTCCCACCCGGCCCTCAGCACAAAACTCCCCTGAGCCCCCTCTGCCCAGCACCGGGATAACCCCCCGTGTTCTCAGTCGCATGACCTCGTGTGCATACACCTGTGACAGCTCACCTCACTTTCCACTGTCTCCTCAAAACCAAGAACAGCGCCTAGTACACAAAAGCCCTAAAAACGGATTTGACTCGTAGGTAAGCATTTAGTTCTAAGCACTGAATGAGCACAGACTCGCGGTCAGGCAGCTGGCTGGTCAGTGTGTTCCAGACTCCCTCAAGATAAGATTCCCCAGGACAAGTTTTTAAGGTCTCGGACTCCAGCTCGGCGCTGCTGGGTCGGAATACCCACGTAAGAGGCCTGTCTCCTCCTGCAGTCATCGGGCACACCAGGTGGGGCCCAACACAAGGGAGACCTGAGCCAACACCGTGCGTGATTCCTGGGAAACAGCAGGGCTCAGAGTGGGGAGTCTGCACCCAGGTCACGGGCAGCGGGGAGAGAAGCCTACGGCCGGCCCGGGGCCGTGAGGAAAGGTTCAGAGTCAGCCACAGGAGGGAAGAGCAGGTGGATGGGGTGGGGAAGGTTCTAGGCCGAAGCCCGGGCGCCCAGGGGACGCAGCAGGGAGACCAAGAGTTTCTGACTCCAGAGGGACCCCCTCAGTTCCCACGCCTGGCCGCTCCTGGGTCCTCGCCCTTCCCCTCAAACAGCAGCCACTCTCTTCTCAGGGACACTATGTGCTCTCAGTTCATTCCTGGTCTCTGACTACTGCTATTTACTGACTCACCGTCAAACCGCACCAGACCCTCCGCCCAGGCTTGTCTCTGATGCCCTCCCTTAGGGAAGCCGGGGTGTGTCACCCAATCCCAATGCATGTTTCTGCTCGCGGCTGAGTATTTCCCCTGTGCCCACCACTCTCATGGAAACCAGCATTTCCAGTGCCACACTCACATCACCATGCCGCATGCTGACCTGCCTGCTCTCCTAAGATTAAGGGCACCACCACGATCTGTGAAGGCACCTCGACCACCTGCTTCTTCCTCCCCCCACTCAGGCCTCACGGGACTCAGAAACGGTTTGTGGGGACTTTCAGCTGTAGCCGGGACTCTCCGGCCTCCGCGCGGTCCCCTGAACCTCCTCTCCCGTCCGCCAGCTGTCTGTCCCACTGACCCTTCTTCAGTGCCTCTGCGTGAAGCAGGGTAACCTCGTGAACCACCACCTCCAGAGTCCCGCCCTGACGCAGCCCCTACTGCCCACATCAAACCCAAATTCCTCTGCCACCCTTCCAGGGCCCTCTGTAACCTGACCCCACCCCTAAGTACCCTCTTCCCATTACTTCCTGTTACTTTTCAGGAAGCGGACAATGCTGATGGGTCTCTTTTCTGGCCTCTCTGCACAGGCGCTCAGATCTTCTGGAATATCTGACACATCCTCCCATTCTTTAAACCCTTTTCCATCTTTGGACTCCCAGGTCACATCCATCGCCTCTGAGAAGCTGTTTTTCACAGGGCCAGTTCACTCCCACCCCCACTTCTTCTGACCTCGTGTGTCCTGAACGGTTAACATACCACGCACAGCCCTATCACCTCACCACAGCTCGCATCAGGGGTCAGCACACAGCTGCCTGCCGAGACAGGTCCGGACCTGCACCCGTGTCCACGAACAGGGTTTCATGGGAAGGGCCACCCCACTCAGTACCATCCCCCGCACTGGGCGGCTGCCGCAGACACCAGGGACCCCCGTGTTCACTCTCGGGGCCTCCACAGAAAGAATTTGCCCTTCCCTGGCCTGCAGCAAACACGTTAGTACTTTTGTATTTGAGTATATATGATGATGTTTTTGTCTTCATTTTCAGTGTGTCTTTTCCTCAAGACTTCAGCACTTTCTAAACTTGAATAGTGATCAAAATCTTAGTGATGCCAGGGGTGGTTAGTTTGTACTTAAACAGCACTTCCACACAGATGTCAGTTTCGATCACATTATTTACCAACTTAGTTCCCCTCTAGGCCACACAGAAACCATATTCCTTGAGAGTCAAGGAGCCGGGGCATGGCACAGAGCGGGCACCCAGCACGTTTGCGGAGTGAGTGCTTCCTTTGTGCCGCAGCACCCAGCGCAGCCCTGAGGAGCCCCGTGAAGCCTCGTTAACTGAAGAGGAAGAGGCTGTGAGATGCAGGGAGAGGCAGGGAACCTGGCATCGGCTCTGTACAGTCATCACTTCTCAGGCTCATAAAGAGCGGGCACCTATGAACACGGGCTTGTCAACAAAAGGAAGCCCCGTCATACGGCCAGGGCAGCGTAACTGATGATAATCAGATGCGATAAAAAAGCCATATTCCACCAAAGAGCCATGCCAGGAAAATGCCGACCTAGCAGAGCTTTTAAAAGGCCTGAACAACATTTCACATGTACACAGGACGAATGTCTGTGGGCCGTTTTCACGCTCATCACTTCATCCTTGCCACGACTCGGGAAGATGGACTGACTGGCCCGATCTCACGGCGGGTGGCGTAAAGGCTCCTCCGGGATCCTACAGCTACTTGGTGGTACTCACAGAGGGCAGGCCAGGGCGCCCCCACTGGGCAGTGCCCAGCACCCCACATGTCTGACCACTGCCCTGGGACACGAGGGAGGGGAGATCACTCTAGGAACGCAGTGCAGGAATGGAACACGCCTGGGCTGGGCTGGCACATGCTGGAATGTCACCGAGTAGTAATACATGTGCCTCAGTGTATGAAGCCAGAAGTGGGAAAATGCCTATACACTCTACATAACACAGAAAATCACCACAGATGTCTACGTCCACATAGAAAACAGGTCATCCAACTAAACATTACTGGCAACTTCCAAAATCCTTATGAATAGTTACTTGTCACTGATTCTGTTATTTTTTTAGACAAATGATAGCCAGCATCAAACATTTCCAAAAAACTTACCACTAAGAATATAGTACCTGATGAATTTGTGTCTTCTATTAATTAGGAAAAGACAGCTACGATTTTACGTTAGTGCCTGATACCTTAGTTTAGCTGCTTGTTATACAGAAACCAATACTGCAATTAAAAAAAAGAATATCCCTGATTTTTTTTCCTTTGGGGAGAAAATGCTTGAATAAACAGAGAAATTATATATTTTCATAAATTATATAAAATTATGTGATTAATGTTTCTAAACACACTACTTACTTCATCTATTACTACAATTTTTATACCACAGAGTTCTACAGAGTTCTGTTTAATTATATCCAGGAGTCGCCCAGGAGTTGCTATGATAACCTGAATAAAAGAGAAAAAGCAAATTAAAAAACTAGATAATATTCATTTACTCATTCTTTCTTTCATTCTTTCTATACTTACTGAGTGGCTAATAGGTGCCAGACACTGTTAAGTCCTTGGAATTCAATGATGAATGAGTCAGACACAGTCTCTGCACTCCTGAAACTCATAATACAAAGGAAGAAACAGAAAGAGATGCTCATGGTGAGCTCAGCATAGGATGCAATGAATGGGACGGCTATCCAGTCTTGGCTGACATACAACTAACACCTAAAAGGAAGAACAGCGGGAGTGAGCGAGGTGTGGAGAGGTTCAGGTGGAACAGAAGGCATCCATGGATGACCTGATGCTGGGAGGCCATCGAGGCTTAGAAGGGTGAGGGAGGGAAGCATGGCCCAGGCCCAGGCCGGAGAACAGGGCAGGGACCAGACCAGGAAGAGCCTCGCAGGCAGGCTGACTGCTAGTTGGCTCTGTGAACAAGTGCAAATTTCTTAACTTCTTTGGATCTATTTCATTTTTAAGTTAAGGGGTTGGCCATGCTGACTTCTAAAGTTCTTCAAGTTCTTAGTAGTCTTATAATCATTAGTTGGAGTAGTGGTTAAAAGTAGGGGTTCTTTAGCAAACAAACTTCCGTAGGCATCTCAGCTCCAGCATTACTAACGGTGTGAGTCTTTGTTTTCTTCCATAAAATCGAAGTGATAACGATTATTGTGAGGACTGAGTAAGACAGTGCTGGCATAAAATACAGGCGCAGAAGAATGACAAACGAGCTGCCGAGTTCAGCTGTACCTCACTTCTCAGGTACACACTGACACACAACGGTAAGCCCGCTGACAGAGACGGAAGTTCAGGGTTCTGAGGGTCCGTGGCCAGACTGGTAGGGTTCTGCTTCGGTGCTTCAGAAATCCCATAAATATAAAAATCAGTTTTGATATTTTGAATGGTATTCACCCCTTTTATTCCATTTTTCCCCTCTGCTGGTTTGGAAGTCAGGAACTTTTTTCATTCTTTCAGTGCTTTCCTTCGAATTTTACCAAACATAAATAACTTAATAAAATCTAAAGTTAATCGACATTTTACCTTTTTTCCTGAACAATCCAGAGCTAAGGCTTTAACACAGTCACGTCCCTCCCGCACTTCTATGCTACTGTTGGTCAGTGTTTTACTTTTCTTTTTAAAGCCCGATTGTTCATTACTATTACTGTTACCGAGTCAATGTTTGTTCGCATTCACCCACATGCTCACCCTTTTCTTTCCTCAGCACTCCGTCTCCCACCCGACCCCTTCCTTCCTAGACTCCCGCCTTCAGAGGCAGGTCAGCACTGTTTGGAGGTTCCTCAGATGGTGCACTGGTCATGCACGCTGTTTTGTTTATCTGAAAAGGTCTGTTTTGCCCTCACTCTTTACAGATTGTTGAGCAGACAGATGCTTCCATTTCTTCCCAGGGGGTGTCTGGAGCGCCAGGGCCTGTCCTGGGGAGTGGGAGGGGCAGCAAGGGGAGGAGGGGGCCTCCGCGGAGAGGCAGGCCTGCAGAGGGGGCTGCAGCAGAAGGAGGCCAAGAGGTGCCGGGTAGAATCGAGTGAGAGGTGTCGCTGTGGGGCAGTGTGGGGGACGGTGGTGAGGACAGAAAATTGGTCACATACAGGAGGACTGAGCAAAGAAATACAGGAAGGATAAAGGGTAGCAGGGTTGATTGTCAGAGTTACAAAGATGGAAACAGAGAACCTAAAATGAATTTTGGTCTGTGGAATTAGAGTTGGAAATATCAACATGAGCTCATGGTCTCATATAAGTGTAGATACAAAAACACACACACTCAGAGATATTCCTTCCCTCTATTTGCTGAGAGGTCCCAGATGCAATTACAGCTCAGTGCCCACGAGCCCAATCTAGAACCCAGACTTTGGTTTCTGAACCCTCTTCTCTACTGAAAGGAGCCAGGGCTCCCTGGAGAAGGGCACGAGTCCAGGCTGCGGTGAGGAGAGAACAACGGGAGCGCTGAAATCCTCTGTAGATAAAAAGGGAGACAGTGCTCAAGGGATGATGCGGGTAAGTATGATAAAAGGACACAGAAGCCACTTGAAGGTGCTTCCACTGGTCAAACTGGGCACAATCAGAGTGTCAAAATAATGATACTATCATATAACCCCTTAAATGCAATGGGAAACCATGAGTCTGTACTGATGGAAAAAAAAATGAGTATGTTGGAAGTCTGGTGAAATGCAAGAAATTCACAGTCTGAAAGTAACCAGACCCCCAAATATTTCCCAATCCAAAGGGAAAAAATAAACTTTACATTTTTCTTTTCAGATAATATCACCATTAAAAGGACAAACTGAAATTGTATGTCATCTAAAAGGATGCAACGAAAAGCACAAAGCGCCTCTTCTTTGTCAAAGATACATAACTTGAATCTGATCAACTGAGGGATGTTCTCCAAAGTAAGTGGTTTATAATTCTTAAAAGTGTCAAGATCATGAAAAAAAAAAAAGGAAAGACTGAGCAACTGTGACAAACCGAAGGAGATCAAAGAAACATGACAAGAAATGCAAATTATGATTCAGCCTGGGTTCTTGTGCTATATTCTTGTGGGACAATTAGTAAAACATGAATGGGGTCTAAGGAGTAGATGGCAGCAATTTTAACTCCTGATGCACTCCAATGTATCGCTGTTAAGCTCCTGATTGTGTAAATGTACTATGGCTGAGGACAATGTCTTTGTAAGACTCACAGCAGAAGTATATTAGCTGTGGATCCTTAGCTAAGTCTCATCTTTCTGAGATTCAACTCAACCAGAAGAAATGGGATATGCCAACCCATCCTCCTCCATGAACAAATGTGATGATTAAATGAATGATGCACTTAAGAACATCCCACAGCATTTGATGTACAAAAGGCACTCAGTATATTAACTGTGTTCCTTTCCTTCCTATACAAAAGAAACTTCAAAAATTAGGGCTTACTTAGCAAGGTTACCTAAAATCACATTCCTAAGTTACTCAAGGAAAAGAAAAACTAGTTCCCATACTGCTTACAATACTTCTCAAAGGCATTCTATCAAGTCGGCGCTCACCTTCACGTGTTGCCGCAGACGGTACAGCTGGGGCGGCAGGGGCAGGCCGCCTATGAGCAGGGCCGTCTTCGTGCGCGGCAGGCCGCTCAGCAGTTCCTTGGCCTGTCTCTCTATCTGAATGGCCAGCTCCCTCGCGGGTGTCAGAATGAGCGCAGATGGAGTTTTGCTCTGCAAAGATACAGAAAAACGAGTCTAAAAACACCAGCAGTTAATTCCTGGGTTGATAGAGACTCATCTTCAAAGTGATTCTAGGAGCATTTTCCTCTTGAAAAATGTTCCCATCGATCCAAATGCATAGGAACCCTCCAGCCTTTTCTCAATGATTTTTTTTTCTCCAAAATCAGTATAAAGTGAACCAACCCATTGCTTATACAACAGAAATAGATACATGATGAAAGATCAAAACGGGGGCCAGGCAGAGGCGTCCTCACTGACTCAGGTGGGAAAATTGGAAGTCCGCTCCTAGTCAGTGGGAATCTGCGCTCTCCAGCCACCCGTCGCCAGGAAGGTCTGGGAGGTCTGGGGGGAGCCCGCATCCCAACGGGACGGTTTCCCTCTCGGCTCCCTGCTGACTCCCATCTTTCACACACGCGTCTTTCACTGCCTCCTTCATTTTGGTCCTCCAGTAAGTTTTACCTATATTTTGGACATCTGGTGCTTTACTTTTTTTTCCCTCACGTTATTTTCTACTACTCTTTGGTTTTCCAAATGTTCGTCCCTTTGCGCTCCTCTTTGCCGGCATTTTTCCCTTGTCCCCCTCCCTGCCGAACTTCTCCCCCGACAAAATGTCTGTTACACTAATCATGTATGGAAGTACTTTATACACTTCTTAAACTAACAAGTAAGGTAAGGTTATAGTATTTTAAGATGAACCAGAGATCACTTTTAAGGGTCTATTTTGACCTCTACAATAGTTTCAACTTTGGTATTACCAGCTTTTCTCAGAACACAATATCCAAGGAGGCTAAAATGACACAAAAATTGCAACTCATTCTTGTCAGCAGGATTCCATCCCCACCCCCAACAAATCAAAAGCTTATTTCTTGAATAGAAAATTTGTTAAGTTTTGTAAAGAATGCAATTTTTTTAGGCCTTCAGTAAAAAGATCTCTGGTTCATTATAATAAAACGATATTCCCTAAAATTGTCTTTTTCTTAGGAACTATCCAGAAGCCAAATCAGTAGGTGCTCTAGTGATGAAAATTCTAAATAGTTTCGGTTTGCAGTTTTAACCTAAAGATGAAACTCGGTCAAGGGCTCCCTTGTTTCTGACAATAATACTTGTGAACCACGACTTGCCTCGAGGAAAGCTCGCGTGACCACCGGAAGGAGAAAAGCGGCCGTTTTCCCTGAGCCGGTGTCGGCACTGGCCAGGATGTCCCTTCCCAGAAGCCCCACGGGGATCATTTGCATCTGAATGGGGGTTGGAACTTCATAGCCTGATTCCTTCAAGTTGCGATTTAAGGCCTCAGGGAACCCGCAGTGCTCGAACTCCAAAATCAGTATAAAGTGAACCAACCCATTGCTTATACAACAGAAATAGATACATGATGAAAGATCAAAACGGGGGCCAGGCAGAGGCGTCCTCACTGACTCAGGTGGGAAAATTGGAAGTCCGCTCCTAGTCAGTGGGAATCTGCGCTCTCCAGCCACCCGTCGCCAGGAAGGTCTGGGAGGTCTGGGGGGAGCCCGCATCCCAACGGGACGGTTTCCCTCTCGGCTCCCTGCTGACTCCCATCTTTCACACACGCGTCTTTCACTGCCTCCTTCATTTTGGTCCTCCAGTAAGTTTTACCTATATTTTGGACATCTGGTGCTTTACTTTTTTTTCCCTCACGTTATTTTCTACTACTCTTTGGTTTTCCAAATGTTCGTCCCTTTGCGCTCCTCTTTGCCGGCATTTTTCCCTTGTCCCCCTCCCTGCCGAACTTCTCCCCCGACAAAATGTCTGTTACACTAATCATGTATGGAAGTACTTTATACACTTCTTAAACTAACAAGTAAGGTAAGGTTATAGTATTTTAAGATGAACCAGAGATCACTTTTAAGGGTCTATTTTGACCTCTACAATAGTTTCAACTTTGGTATTACCAGCTTTTCTCAGAACACAATATCCAAGGAGGCTAAAATGACACAAAAATTGCAACTCATTCTTGTCAGCAGGATTCCATCCCCACCCCCAACAAATCAAAAGCTTATTTCTTGAATAGAAAATTTGTTAAGTTTTGTAAAGAATGCAATTTTTTTAGGCCTTCAGTAAAAAGATCTCTGGTTCATTATAATAAAACGATATTCCCTAAAATTGTCTTTTTCTTAGGAACTATCCAGAAGCCAAATCAGTAGGTGCTCTAGTGATGAAAATTCTAAATAGTTTCGGTTTGCAGTTTTAACCTAAAGATGAAACTCGGTCAAGGGCTCCCTTGTTTCTGACAATAATACTTGTGAACCACGACTTGCCTCGAGGAAAGCTCGCGTGACCACCGGAAGGAGAAAAGCGGCCGTTTTCCCTGAGCCGGTGTCGGCACTGGCCAGGATGTCCCTTCCCAGAAGCCCCACGGGGATCATTTGCATCTGAATGGGGGTTGGAACTTCATAGCCTGATTCCTTCAAGTTGCGATTTAAGGCCTCAGGGAACCCGCAGTGCTCGAAGTCAATAATGGGCCTGGGGACGCGCTGCCCTTCCACTGCAATTCCCAGCTGCTGCTTGAGATTTTCAATCTGGTCTTCCTGAAGGCCCGAAATGAAAGGGTGCTCTTTATACACATAGGAATTAAGTGCTGAATCCAGCTCGGAATCAGCTTGCTGTGGATTGCTGAGTTTTAGTTTCTCCTCCTTTTCCTTGACTTGGAGAAGATGTTTTGCTTTGCACTCCAAGCTACACACATCTTCATCTGTCTTATCACAGATGTACTCCCCGTAACGACCACAGACGACACAGACGGGCTCCCCAGGTTCTGCCCAGCGCTGCGTTTTGGAAAATGACTTAACAGGCTCTTCAAGAAGTCTGCGATCCTCTGCACCCTGCTCAGATCCGACCAAACAAACCTCAGCCAGCTGGCCGGCTGGACTGGGGAAGGGGCCGGGTTCCGCACTGTGCGTGTCTGCTGTGGCCATTTCTTTTGTAACTAAAGCATCAACTGTATCATCTCGGCCTTCATTCGGCTGAAGGTCGTCTGCTTCTGGTTTGATTTTCTTAGCCGTACAACCTTGGGTATCATCATTAGCATTCCTCTTGATTTTTAGAGATCTTGGAACAAACATCCTTTAATATTCTGGTAAGGAAATTATATGATGAGTTTTACTTTACCCTTGATAAAGTTCACAGAAGAAGTGCTATACAGTTATCTGGAGGCAGCCGGGTGTCCCTGGGCTTTGCCTGAAAGGAAAAGAAAGGGCATCATGAACTACGTACATAAAGCTTTCCCCCCATTCACCAGCTTCCTCCTGGGGACAGACGGAACCCTTTCTTCGTACTCAGGGGTGGTGGACAATGCACACTGCCTACTTCTGTTTACGATTTGCACTTGGAAATAGCAGATATGGCAAATTCTAGAGTAAATCCTTCTATTATATTTTCACAGAAGACAACAGGAGGGATACTTTACAAGTAGAATCGTTAAAATCAAAACCACAAAGGAAAAATACTCTTTTGTAACGTGTGTAACTATTAAGTAACAGATACCGCGCTCCCTGTGTTCCACGCACAGTACTTGGCGCTTCACGTTAACCTGATTCCCACATACCTGTAAATAAAGTAGGTTAATTCTACTCCCCAGAGATACACGTTTTATTATGCTGTATTATGTATCATAATAATAGACTCACTTTCCACACGAGGTACTCAGGGACTTGTCCAAGCTCCCTATTCTAGGTAGAACCCAAGCACTCTGGCACCGCAGTGCAAGCTCTCAACCCACAGCCTGGCCTACTAGCACCAAAAATATATTTTTTCAAAACCACGGTGACTGGGAAAGACTTTTAACCTAATTTGGGGATTATCAAATACACTAAAAAACATTTTTCCCAAAAATTCCTTAGGATACACTGCCAGATCCCATATGTCCAGAAAAATTCCAACAAAAATTTAACTGGGGGTCCAGAAGACCCCAAAAACGT